GGCTTCCTCTCTGACTCACCTTTCCCATCCTGCCTCCTATATCACTGGTTGCAACCAAGTCCTACCGTCGCTGCGACGCACGTTATGAAGTTGGTGATAATCCCTTTCTAGGGCCCTCTACGGTATCTTATCAGCTGTTATCACTTCCTGCCACCCACCAATGATGTTCCCATCCTGCTAGCTATCCTACGTGGAATCAACGTCTAGTCGTTGCTGCGGCCGGCGCTATGAATTTGGTGACCCCCCCCCTTCTAAGGCTCCTTATGGTATCTTATCAGCTGTTATCACTTCCTGCCACCCACCAATAATGTTCCCATCCTGTCCCCCTATCTTACTTTTGGAACCAACGTTCTACAGTTTCAGATAAAGTTGGTGATCCACCCCTTCTAAGACCCGCTACGGTATCTTATCAGCTGTTATCACTTCCTGCCACCCATCAATAGTGTTCCTGCCCAACCACCTACATCACTTATCAATTTGAGCGCTCTATCGCTGTTTTGAAGGAAGTTATGAATTTCCGGTCAAACACACATACACACACACACACACACCAACAGACAAACTTAGCGGATTATATATAGTAGGATACCTCGTGAATAGGAAGTGCGTGGAAATGCAGCTGTAGGCTAGTGATAGTTCGATGTCCTGAACCGCTGCTACCATAACCCCCTCCCTAGGCTAAATGCGCGCGCTAAGCGCGCCGTTCACCCAAAATGACAAAACAATCGTAATTCGCTGCGCTGGAAGGGTTCGCGAGCGATGTCGTAAGCAAAGATGTTTCAGGTAATGGGTGGAAACAACAGACAATGTATAGACAAAAACAGCAATGAGTGTCTACCTAGTATACTTGCGATCCTGTGCTCCATTGGACAGGCCCGGGCCCATCACCACACGCGACGGGGCGGCAAATCACGGTTGTCTGGACCGTCCAGTAAGGGAGTTAAGGGTTCCAGTAAGTAGTGAAACGTCCACAGCGCAACGGAGTGTAATATGACAATTAATGGTATTGAAAAGACTTGCGAAGCTGAATCAAGCGTGTGGATTACGGTAGCTATGGGCCCTCGGGGTGCGGAATCTTTCTCGTCAAGTTTTCGTCGTTGAACCGATAATGAGGAACATGATTAGTGCCTCTCCTATTACATATAGATAATCACCCACGATAGGCTACAAAATTTGACCATAAAGCGGCTACGGGTGGCTCTTCTATCTTTTGTTTCACCCTTCAAGTCACAAATGTTT